TGGAAGGACGAAGCACATTCAGCTTCGACATCACTTCATGCGACATACAAAGATACAAGATGAATGATAAATATTATCAAGCTAAACTCTTTCATGATTCAAGAAGCTCCTATTCTCCAATAAAAAACAAAACCCTCAAAGATCACGGTAGCATTGTGATGTTTAGCCAATGTATTAATCTAAGAGATACAAGTCAAATCCTAACCAAGGTTATGGCAATGGTTAACAATTCTTAATGGCACTGCTAATAAACATTGTGTTAAATTTTTGGACATAGTGATGACATCTCCGTAAGACATAATATCTCCAAGGAAGTTTTTTTGAGAAAAATAAGTTGTTTGATGAGATGCGAAGGACTTAACAACATCCAGTTAAGGGGTAACTGCTTGCCAACATTTTCGATGAATTCTAACCTCAAGAGGCTCTTAACTAATTCTTAATAGTAATTCCAAGTAGTAACAATAATGCTTATTGCTAGAATATTCAGTTTTCATGAAGTAACAAAAAATTTAAAAGGTGGTAAATTAAATAATTTATCAAAGTCACATTTAATTATACCTTCATTTTGTGTGCACTGTAAAAACTCCCGAACTGAGAATTGCTTCTCTTTATCAGACAATTGAGGCACAAGCTCAATCAACTCCTCCATTGAAGCAGCATTCAACGATTCGGAGCTCGAACGAGGCCCTCCAATTCTTGCGAACCCCAAATTCGATAAAAACCCACCGATTTCTTCCCTCTCCATAACGATTCCCCCGCTAATCCTCCTTCGATCTTGATCCAACATTACAAGATTCTGTATCAATCCATCTAGGGCACTGGATATGAATGAATCCAATGAAAAGTCTTCTCCTTTCTTCGAAAATGGCTTCTTGTTGGGTGATTTGTCGAATTTGGAGAGGAATTTGAGAGGATTTTGAAAGAAAGATTCGAGGGGACTTGGGAGTGAAGCCATAGCTCGAGCTTAGATTATGGAAAATTAGGGTTTGGAACTGTGATCTGCAGTGAGTCATGGAGAGAGTGAAAGAATCAGCTGCAGTCTTCTTTTTTAACAATTTTTCCCCGATATTTCGAATAACAAATGAACTCTACATTTAAATCGGCAAAATTAACGGATTAGTTTGGACAAATTTTCAAAACCAATCTGTTTGTCAAACAAAAAAATTTAAAAAGACGCGTTTCAAACTTAATTTCAAAAATTAATCCAGTTGGGCTGAAACACGGTCGGTTTTTAGAAAAAAATTCCCAAACTTTACGGGAGTTGAAGTTCCCTAAAGTTTTGTTATATAAAAAACTTCACGGGATTTTAACTCCTGTGAAGTTTGGGAACTTTTTTTTTCAAAAACCGACACAGTTTCAGCCAACTATGTATGTTTTTGAAATTAAGTTTAAAATGAGTCCTTTTTGGGGAATAAAATTCAAAACAGATCGGTTTTGAAAATTTGTCTGGATTATTTATTTTGTTGACCTAATATACTTATAAAAAAAATTAGCGAGTTTAGTTACGTGACCACTCACGTGCGGACTTCCAGCATGGAAGGTAATTGGGCTCAGATCTATGATTCAAATGGTTATTTTTTTCCCTTCAAATTATGACTCAAAAGAGATTATTCAAATTGGGGTTATTTTCTTCCTCCTAGGTTAAATTAGATTAGAGCAACTAAAATCTAGATTTAGGAGAGCTTAATATTTAAGAACCTATCTTTAATTTCAGATGCTCTAATCATTTTAATACTAGGAGGAAGAAGAAATCTCCAAAATTGGATCCTAACTCTTTTAAGCCCTAATTTGAAAAAGGACCCCTTTTCAGCTTATAAATCTAAGCCCAACTACCTTCCACATTGGAAGACACGTAGGATGCATCGTGTTCACGTGACTGAACTCGCAAGAATTCTGGTTCTAGCAAAAAAAAAATAGAGGTATTTGTCACCGGCTTACACAAAACATATTATATCATCGTCAGAATAAGAAAATATACCTAGTTGGTACATAAGATCAACAAAATAAACCACTCTGATAATTTTGCCCATTTAAATCAGTTGACTTCACGTGATTTATGGACTTCTATAATGGGAGGTGAACTCTTGTCAACTTAAGTGAATGTCCACCAAACTTTTTAGCCACTCATTTATATATATTAAAAACATCTTCATATGTTTAATAGATCTCTAGGGAACATCAATGACTAAAAAGTTTGGTGGATAACTTTTTGTTATCCACTTAAATTGACATAAGTTTTTCTCTCTATAATGGACCTATATTTAACGTATGGTCATTATTATTGGGCCTAATTACATAAACCAGATCATAATTAAGGAGTCTGCGTAATCCATCAGAGATTAGAATGTCTTTGTTTTTTCTAATATCGAGGGTACTGTATTATAAAAGAGTCCCGACTCATTCTTTAAGAATGTGTTTCTTTTTCTATTTAATCCCCCCAAAAAGGATTACTGTAAAGTGTAAACCCACCTCGCACTCACCTTTATAATTCAGATACTATTCACGTACACGGATTAAGATTTTTTTTGACGAAAATGTTATTATGTTTTTAATTGTGTCGAGTTGTTTATGCCATTTTTCCCACTGGTTTATTACTTTCATAGTTTTTTTGAGCTTTGCTACATTAACCCAAAATATGGGATCAATAATGGGGACAAGTGAGATGTCCCCCTCCTATTGGATAATGAGTTGGTCATCATTAATGATGGCTAACTCATTATCCAATAGGAAGAGACACCTCACTTGTCCCCTCTATTGGTCCCATATTTAGGTCCTTGAGGAATTTTTTTTTTTTTTATTTTTGCCGCTTTGCCTTCCACGGGCTATTTTCTAGCCACTTTTCTTCCTAGGACTATTCTCTTCGCCATTTTTGTTATTTTAAAGGAGGTAAGGTGATGAATTTATCTAATGTTCGCGTGAATGATTTCATCTGAATAAATGTCAGAGCAAGTCAATTTTAAATTCTTAAGTTTTGTGAACAATTTGATATTTTGTTGGAAGAATGACATCTTTAAATAGTTTGGTTCTATGATTGCTGTTATAGTCTTTTTTTTTTAAGAGAGAAAAACAAGGGATATACCATGTTCATTGATAAAAAGTATCTTTACAAAATAAGGATACGAACTATATCCACTAAAAATTGGTAGATAGAAAACTTAATTTCTCAAAACTAGTGATGTATAACATTCTTCTCCAAAATATCCATGAAGGTGAAGAGAGGTCATTGACGTCATTCACCGTTGACATGGATATAAAAGAGAACCAAAACCGGACATACATATAGTATAAAGAAATTAAATTTTCTCTAAACCAATTATAAACCGAAAAAAACAAACTACAAAAATAATATGTACATATATCACCAAAGACTAACTGGTGATGTTAACCACTGCTCTCTGGGATTGGTTTGTCTTCTAAAGCTTCTGCTAACTTGAGAGCATCCTTCTTTCTTCCAGATCCTGAGATGTGTTGGTCTTCGTGAACGATCCTGGCTTTGTTATCCTATTTGTCTCTACGGGCTTCTTTGCTTCGAACTCCATCTTCTTCGCCTCCAGTCTTCTCTGCTGTTATAGTCATTCTAGTGCTGAAAAGTAATCTCCAATCAATGGCAGACAAGTATCTCATTTTATGCGTAATCGAGTCAGCACTTCAAGATAACCAAAAGCCCAATTCGGTTGACTCGACACGTCGACATCTTGCGATGACGACTCGAAAGGCGTTACGTGTTGACCCCTGGCTAAGGTGACTGCTTAATCACCCCACTCAACCGACTAATCGGCCAACATCTTGCGAAGACGACTCAAAATGTGGTACTTCTCGATCATCGGACAAGTAAAAATGCAACAAAATATCTTGAGCCTCAAGCCCCCTCTCGCTTACTGACAACTGATCACATTGTAATAATATCATTAAATACATTATAAGCGTCATCATTCCTCTGCCCCCAATAGTTGTTATGACACATCGGATCACATCGGCACCGCACACCCCCAATCACTTTGCATTAAATATCAAATTGACCTCTCCTTCACTTATCGTCCGACACATGTAAAGCAGAGGCTGACGTGGCTGTAGGGTCTGATTTTGCTTATGTATACCAAGTGTAGGATCGTGACCCTTAAGAATAGAGTACGCTCTTATAAAAATCTGCGGAAGCTTTACACTTAAACACTAGAGTATGGGTTTGCAAAGTAGATTATAAATTGTAAAGAAAGAATGGCAATCTTAGAAAATAAACATCACAAACACAAGCATGTATACTGGTTCCACCTCCCCGGTGTACATCCAGTCCCCAAGAAAATCCCGCTTGAGAGTTTCCACTATGATTTTGAAACCTTACAAAATCAAAATCAAACCTGACCAATTTGCAAGACCATGTAAATTGCAAACCTAATTGATAAGACCATGCCAATCGTCACACCGATCTCTAGACCAAGAGATCAACCCCTCTCATAAACCGAGAGAACCTTTCTTTGAAGCAATGTACAATTCCAATCCTATAAGCCTTGATATGGATGTGAATGTATAACAGTGGCTTATCAATCTTTTTAACTCTCTGAATATTGTCTAAACAAGCTTTAAGAATGATAGGAACAAAGGCAATATCAGAAACTCTCTTTTATAGAAAAACAGATTGAAAAACTAAAAGTTTAGAGAGTTAATTTGCATAATATGTGAATCTTATAAGTGCAAAACTTGGTTATTGTTTTCTGATGTTTAAACCTATTTATAGCCTCAGAAATGACATAATTTTAAACCTAATTAACGTCCACAAAACGACTATAAACAGTCACTTATTTAAAACCTGAAATCTGAAAAAACTACATCTGTAGTCGACTACAAGTCATAGTAGTCGACTACACTGAGTCTAAACAGACTCTGTGAAGTCAGAAAATTGCTTAGTAGTCGACTACAAGGCATAGTAGTCGACTACACTGTAAACTCAGATTTTGAAATTTTTCTTTTTAGTATTTTAACTGTAACTTTCTCATCCGATATCAGAATGAGGTGATTTAAGATTTGTTGGAAAGATATTGAAGAGACCTACAACTTTGATCTTTTGAGTTTTTCCAGATTCTAATTGTTAAGGGGTATAAATAAAATGTTTTAAGACTCACTCAATATCTATAAACTCTAATGGCTAACATAGGAGATTTCTATTGTTAACCACACTAAGTATATGTTAGTGTGTTCTAACACTATGTATGTGTATATGTGTGAGTGATCAAGGCTTGTACAAATTTCTAAGTAAAGAAAATATAAAATTATATTTTGACAATAAAGTATATCTTCTTCTTTGCTTCATTTTGCCTTGAACTCATCTATGTCTTGAGTATCTCTTTGAATATAATTGTTGATATAGCTCTGATACTGCAAAACAAATGTTAGCACATAATACACACAACACATAATATTTGTTATTATCAAAATAAACTAATCTTGGGGTCAAGATTCCTTACAGTGGCCGCCATCCTATACTTGGTCAAAGTTACCATTTTACCCTTCTACTACCACTATAAATATGGATACTATTTTTAATAATATGATAAGATCTTTACCTCTACACATTGTGCTTAAGAACTACTGCAGTTCATTTTACTTCTCTACTCAAGTAAATCTCTGACTTGGACATAAGAGGAATAACCGGAGAACCCAACCGCACCATATTACAATTTTCTGCTTGTGCAGTGAAGAACAACCTACTCCAGAACCGGACATTCGAAGGGTTAGAGGACATCTGTCAACTTAATCACTTCTTTCATTTGACTACAGCCATCAACAATTGCTTTTTGTTAAATGAATAAGGTTATTTATTTAATCATGATGGGCATCGAGTGGTTTGTTTATTTTTCTTAAATCATATCTAAATTTTGAATTTTTTATATTACACAGACGCATTATACGATATTAGTTGATTTTGTATGCAAAAAGTGTGAATTTGGTTATGATATTAGTCTAAACAGTCATACTCTCCCTAAAAATAAACAATAACCTAAACTATTTTAATTTAGTCCAAATATTAATCCATATGAAAACAAACATTACATCAGGCTAAAATAGTCACATGATAATGTAATAGGAGGACTATAGTTCAGAGGTTACAGTACCCCCTAATCCTAGGATAAAAAACAAACGTGGTTGAACCACCTTTTCCCCCTCTTTTTGGGTGCGTGAACGAATGAAAAATGATCTAGATTTCAAAGTTACTCATCAACAGATTGGTTTACACTTTGAATATTAATTACTTTGTTTTATTGAAATAATAAAGCGAGTATTCTTATGGATAAAATGATTAACTCCTCCTTAAAAGTATTGTCGAACCTTCAAGTTGCACCTTAAAGTATCAATTTGTCCATTTCTCCCTCCATACCATGTTTGCTTGCTCATACGTAGATCTAGATTTTAAAATTTTCAAACAATCTCCTAAAAAGTTTGAATTTTTATAGAAAACACGTTGAAACAAACTCAAAAATCACAAAAAAAAAATACCTTGAAATTTTCAAAAAACATTGACCTAAATAGCCCCATGAATATCTGAATTTACAAATGACTAAAAATTCAAAATTTGCAAAAAGAACTCAAAATTTGAAATTACAAAAATCACTGTGAATTAGAAATTTACAAGTAGTCCTCCAGAAATTAGAAAATTATAAATGGGTCTAGAAAATTCTTAAATTTGCAAAAAAGACCCTTAATTTTTTTTAAAAGTATCTAAAAATTACAAACGGCCTCCTGAAAATCCAAAAAAGGGGAATGTTTGTAATTTTCAAATATTTTTTCAAGATTTTTGCAATTTCTAAAAGTTCCTATGTGTTTTTTGTAAATTTTAATTTTTCAGTGTCTTTTGCAGTTTTTCTCATAGGGTTGTTTATGATTTTTAAATTTTTTTTTTTGTAAGTTCAATATTTTAGGGTGTTTTTTATAAGTATTTGAGGTGTTTTTATAATTTCTAATTTTTTAGACTATCATTTGTACTTTAATTTTTTTTAGAATTTTGTGAATTTCGGTAACCCCCTCCCGCCCCCAAAGAAAAAAGATATGAAACATCGTCATCCATTAAGTATTTGACGGTGGTTACACAAAAATACCATATTGGGCAAGCAAAAAATTAATAGTATAAGGGGAAAAGGGCAAAATGATACTTTAGAGAGTAAGTTGTAAGTTCAACAATACCTTATTAAGGAGTAAGTCATATTGTTCTATTCTTATCTCATAATGTTTTTCAAGGTAAAATATATTGATGCTGTGTAGTTTTATCTTGCCATGGAACTTTTCCTTTTTAAAATACGAAATTAACTTCAAGCATGGGGTATGCAATTCCAACTTTGTATTCATGCTTTCCAAACATTATATGTTTTTTATGTTAGAAGTGTCATTTTTACTTTTCATCAATTCTCAGTTAACGTGGGAGTTGCTTTTCCTAATGATTTATCAAGAAATTAATATTCCCACTTAAGTGAGAATAAAAATACTAAAATAAATTTTAGACATACCCTTCTTAAAAATATTCTCACATAGTTTTCTAATCGTACCCAAACATGAGAATGATAATAAGCATTACATTCCCATATCAATTACATTTCATTTCCACATTCATTCTATTTTTACTTAACTTCATTCTTGTGTACCGATCGAGGCGTCTCTTAAATTCTCATCAAGGTAGGGCAATGTAGCATATTACTTGAGCTAGTATTTATGTTGCGCACAACCTATTGAAGATTTGCTTAAACGCACATATCGTCTGTTCGGCTCGTTTGAATATAGGTATTGGCACCATCCATCAATCCTTATTGCCCTTGGACAGGTTATAGACTCGTGCTACTAAGCTCGGCAATTATTACAGAACTTATGTTTCAAATGGTCTGTTTAGCAAAATCGACCTTTTTTTGGCATGTTGGCCAAAAAAAAGGTCTATGTTGTTAAATATTTAGCAAAACGGTCTGTTTTGCTAAATATTTAGCAAAAAGGGTCTATTTTGCAAATTTTTCCTTGATTATATGGTGTTATTAATTCATCTTATTATTCAGTAAGAATAGCCAAAGCTCAACGTATGTTATACGAATTTGTGTGGTTACCTCAACTATTTTTATTATTGAACCTGTTTTCTATAGGAAGAAACTTAGCTGAAGAGTAGTAATACGTTTTGGTTGTTTTAAATTTTAAAATGAAACAAAAAAGATAAAGGAAACAGAAAAAAAAAGGTTTCAAAACGGTTGAATGAATCTTTATATTGTTAATAAAAATATTAATGATCGTATTAACCAATGTGACTCAAGAAAAAGGTCCAACTTTCTGTCATTTTAATCATAATGGTTAGACTGCTCAAGTCAATAGTAGACTTTTTAGGTAGCACCCTCCCCTTCATATAAAATTCAACCACATGCCACTCATCTTTAGGTGGTAAGTTGCAATCCCAACCAACAACTATTTGGCTGTCTCCTCTCAAGCGTTCCTTTTACTTCAAGAAAAGACTTTGCCTCCCACAAAAATGAGAAAGGGTTATCTTTCCTATAAACCCAAAGTTCGGCCTCAATTTATTTTTAGATCATCTTACTTTCAAAAAGCAGCCCTTTATTATAAGTTTCAACAGTTTGGTATACAATGCTAGTTCATTATAAGTTGCCATATTTTACATGCGATGCTGCATTTTTGTTGTAACTTTTTATAATTTGTCTTAAGATGTTATATTTTGTTGTTAGTTGTTTGCGTACCAAAATAATGATATACTGTTTACAACTGTTTGTAGAGGGGGGGTTAAGAGTGATAGTGGAAGCGGATAGATTTGAAGAATAAATGTTGGTGCAATTTGGGTTTATATGAAGGGGAAAAAAGCAAAAGAAAAACACCCAACACCATCAAAACCTAATTACACTTAATTATCCTCACCTAATGATTAGTTGATAGAAAAGCCCAAGATAGAAAGAACCGTTGCGATCCCGCCTTTTTAAAAACAATCCGTGTTCACCTTCACTTAACAACTCACCATCCAAAAATATATATATATAACCTCTCTCCTCTTCCCCCCCCCCCCCCCCCCACTCCCCCCCCCCCCCCCCCCCCACCACTTCATTGCCTATTTCCTCTAGAGCAGCAAGAAGCAACAGCCAGAGCATGCGGCCTCCATGAGCAGATCAAGGAAGAGGATTCAGCTATGGAAGAAAGCAGCCATCCACTTCTCCCTCTGCTTCGTCATGGGCTTTTTCTCGGGCTTCGCTCCAACGAGCACAGCCTCAATCTTCTCAGGCCAAGCCAACCCGTATCGGTCCACCAAAAACCTCGGCATCTCAGCCCAGCTCGCTCCTCAGCCCCTCCAAAATCCCAGCGAAAATAACCGTAGCTTAATGTCGTCTGAAGTCGCAGAGAACCCAGCAAATTCAAGCGCTACTCACCGCAGTACTGCTGATGAATTGAGCCCCCGAAATCTTCTGATTGTCATAACGACGTCTAAGCCCAATGATCGATTTAGCGGGCCGTTCCTGAGGAGACTGGGCAACACTTTGAAATTGGTTTCTTCGCCTTTACTTTGGATAATCGTCGAAGCTAGCAACGAAGCGTCGAATAATGCTGAGTTGCTGAGGACGACGGGGATCATGTATCGGCATCTCACTTATAAGGAAAATTTCACCGACGCGAAGGCTGAGGCTGATCATCAGAGGAACGTTGCGCTCAACCATATTGAGTATCATCGGCTTAACGGGATCGTGCATTTTGCTGAGGTTTCGAATACTTATAATCTTGAGTTCTTCGATGAAATTCGAGAAATTGAGTAAGTATTTTGTCTTCCCTGCCTCTCTCTCTCAGTAATTGATTAAGATTTTATCTACAATATGTAGCTATTTATCACTCAATACGTACGGGAATTACATGGTGATCAGAGTAATATTCTCCCTTGGGTGTAAAAAGCTAACGAAAAAAATAATGTCGTCACAAAATTAAAAAAAAAAAAGGAAGAATAAGAGATATTCTACACCTTCCTCTCCCTCAAGAATCTCTGTTTCGCATGTGGAGGTGGTGGAATTATTAGCTTGACATTCTGTACCCATGATTGGTACCTTTGAAGAGTTGAGTAATTAATAGTGGGAATATTCATTTGATGCCGCTAACCAACAACATTATTATCAACTGACTCCCAATAGAAATTAATGGTTTGTGTAAACAACTCGACTTTAACAGCTTATGCCATAGACTTATCATTACCAACTCCATCTATATTTCCTTATTCTAGACTTGTTCAACTGATCATAACACGTTTCAAACAACTCAAACCTCGCATCTGCCCCTTTGTTTTATGCAGACTAAGATTGTCGATCTTTCGTATTTGTTTACGGAATATCTCCTTAACTCTTTTTATTTTATTTCTCAAACAATCACTCTGATACCAAATGAAGCACGTTCGGGACATGGCCGATGGCGATGATGTCAGCGAACAGGAGGCGAGTCGTGGTCGAAGGGCCGATGTGTAGGTCATCAAAGGTGGTAGGCTGGCAGTTGAAGGATTTGAGCAACCACACAAGCGATACAAGTAATCCAATTCCTAGTCCGGACGCTAATAATGGCGGCATCGCAGAGAGAAAGCACGCTAGGATTAATATCTCAGGATTTGCCTTTAATAGCTCCATACTGTGGGATCCTGAAAGATGGGGGCGCCCCTCATCGGTTCTTGATACTTCACAGGTAAAATATAATCCACTCGATCTGCATAATCTTTGATTAAAGTTATATTATTAATCATGATCGCCATTGTTCTATTTTCTACGTTTGAGTAGAATCACGGATGATGACATGATGTGAAAGGCATTAAGAAGCTAAAGGATATTGATCGATGTTATTCTTAGACATTAAGCATGGTAGTTAAAACTAATTATTGTCACCAACCAGTCTAATCAACATCTTAATCATCAATATCTGCTTTTCTAAATTAGCAAATAGAGAAGTACCACCAAATATATATCATTAGACACTACGCTTTAGTGGGCTCATGCACCAACTCCCAAAGGAAATGGTGGGAAGTCCACTCACTTATTACATTACAACTTTCTCTTAACCACTGCACTCTCAACTTTTCTCTAATGATCGAATCCTAAACTTGCTTCTTTCTTTTCTTTTTCTTTTTTTTTTTTAAATTCAGGACTCAATCAAGTTTGTCCAAGAGGTGGTCCTAGAGGATGAGAGCAAGTTGAAGGCTATACCCTCTGACTGTTCTAAGATCATGCTGTGGCATCTTCATATACCAAGGACCCTGACTACTTCACCAAGTAGCTCTCAATCCAAAAACAGAAGGTAGAGAGAGAGAGGAAGAGAAAAGAGAAATAGTACAAACCAATGAAAGGTTGTATAGAGAGAGAGAGAAAGAGATTGCTTTTGGTGTTATTATCATCCATATTTTTTTGTTCTTTTTTTTTTTGGAACATTAGTCATCACCCCAATACTATTCATGTGTTCGTGGCATTTTACTACTTAGTTGTAGCCTGTACTTTGCAAATGGATAAGGGGGTCACTCACCAACAATGATTTATACAGAGAATTTTTTAAAGTGGGGCTTTTACAAGGGACTCAAAAATTAATATATAGACGCAACTATATTGATAAATAGAGACAGGGAAAACATTCCGTATATGTTAGTATATACGCAACTATATTGTTAGATAGAGATAGGGAAAGGGAAAATTTGCAAAATAGTCCGTTTTTGCTAATTATTTAGCAAAATAGACCGTTTTGCTAAATAATTAGTAAAATAGACCTCTTTTGAAAAAAAAGAGGTCGATTTTGAAAAACAAGGCTCAGAAAACATACGAGACTACTAGTCTCGTATGTTTAGAGCCAACTTAATCACGGGTTAGTGACCCAGAAAACATACGGGACTAGTAGTCCCGTATGTTTTCTGAGTTCATCTCAATGTTTTTATGAAATTTTCTGAGTTCACTAATCCGTGATTAAAACATACGGGACTACTAGTCCCGTATGTTTTCTGAGCTGTTTTGCAAAATAGACCTCTTTTTGGCTTGTTGGCAAAAAAGAATTCTATTTTGCTAATTATTTAGCAAAACGGTCTATGTTGCTAAATAATTAGCAAAAACGGACTATTTTACAAATTTTCCCATAGGGAAAACATTTCGTATATGTTAGTATAGACGCAACTATATCTATATATAGATAGCAGTGATACGTACGTGTTCGCCGTATATGTCAATTATCAAGGACCACTATTAAATTTGTTTTTCTCCACCCATTGAGTGAGGATGATGGAGAAAGCTAGGAGTGCCCACGCACGTTAAAGGTTTTAGAATTTGGATCCATTTTTGTGTCTCTCTAGTTCTCTAAAATTTTTGGAGCATCGCGTGTGAGGAAGTGCAAATCCTTGGGGGGCAGGGCAAATCCAAGTTAGTTTAAGTGGCAATTTTATAGTTTGGTAGTACAAGCTTGTCACTAGTTGCAGTCTCTAGAGATATGTGGCTTCAATATAAAGCATTATCTAAGTTTAGTATCAACTCGTTCTACTTCACCCCACCAAAAAAAACAAAAAAAAAAGGATAATTAGAGCTGAAGTTACAGACAACGCTTGAAATGGTTACGGACTACACTTTGAAGTCCGAAGTAACGTCGACCGACTGTTACAGACTGAATTTTTTATTTATTTGTTTATTTATTTTTTCATTCTCTCGTTTTCAATGAATGGGGGGGGGCAGAGTTTAGGTTTTATTTTATTTTTAATGGGCCAGCTTGAGCTGCTGATATCATTAGTAACCCAAACTGCACTTGCCAGGGCCTTGTTTTTGGGGCCTGCATACTGTGGGCCCTTAACGAACAGGCCATGACATCCAATCCGAATCCTTGTAAACTTTTTTGTTTTTTCATTTTTCTTTTTGGAAAATGGGGTTTAATACCTAATATATTGCAAACTTAAAGCAGAGAATGACAAAACAGATCAACTCAAAGTTATATAATTCAAATTATCTATTAATTACGTTTACTTATTAATATTTTCTACTGTGAGTCTATACTAAGGCGCGCATGTAACTTCCTCCTAACTCGTCATACTTCATATTAGACTTTATTCGCAGCGAAATTATACTTATTATCATCATTACTTTCATGGTGTTTGATGATTGTTGTAACTTATACTACAAAGTTGTCGAGTCTTGCAAAATATAATGTAGTTTGTTGCATTTAGTTCTTTATATTTGACAGGTAGTCCCTCAACTCCTCAGTATTTTTATGAGTGTAACCTAGCTGGCGAATGGAATCTACACGCAAATGCTAATATAAGTAATCAAATGTGAGTTTGTTGCATTTAGTTCTTTATATTATATAGACAGGTACGTAGTCCCTCACTCCTCGGTGCCCTTTGAAAAATAGACAATTAAGTACTACATATATTGCTTCCAGAGATTGCAGATTGCTACACTTTTTTTATCAATTTGTGATCGACCTTTTGTTCACAATTAATCAATTATTTTATGATCAAGATAATGTGAAAACGGCGAAGGAATTGAGAAGGGAATTGAGAAAAACGTGAAGAATAAAGGAATTGAGAAAAACATGAAGAATAAGCAAAATAGGCTCCATCACACCCTGGTGTGGTGTCTGCCATGGGTGTGGCAGAATCTGCCCTGTCTGCTATGGATGTGGTGTCTGCCATACCCTGGTGTGGCAGAATCTATCATGTTTGTCATGGGTGTGGTGTGTGCCACACCAATGTGTGACAGACTCGTTTTTAGAATCCCAATCAGTTTGGGATTGTGTTTTGTTATAAATAGAGACACATTTTTTAGGGTTTCTTTGGCTTTGTTTAGGCTTTGATTGGGCTTTGATTAAACATTGATTGAGGGATATTTGGAGCATAAAAAGAGGTATTTTTTAAGCTTTTGGTTAGGGTTTTGTTTGGAGAGATTAAGAGTTTTGTTGGTAAGATTAGTTTGTTCCTTCGAGTGATTTGTAATCTTAATTTGTACTCTTCTTCTCTATTAGTGAAAATCTCATCCCCTTCTTGCCCCGTGGACGTAGGCAACTTGCCGAACCACGTTAAAATTGGTGTTTTATTTGTGCATTGATATTTAGTTCGTTTGGCTCTCTTGGATTGGCGTTTGGTTTGGTTCCTCGACACAACTTTTGGCACAACAATTTGATATCAGAGCTCGGGCTACGCTTGGGCTATTTGGAGGAGTAGATCGATTTGGGAAGCTCGTCTAGGGTTTCAGTTGGTGAGAAATGTGGGATCTTTTCGATAATGCTTTTTTCTTTTCTCAGTTTTGGATCTATTCTTCGTTTGTTTCCGCGTTGGTTGTTGTTGTGTTGAGGATTATGGCCAAGAAAGAGGGAGTTGAGGGTAGTTCTTCTGGTGTGAAGACTGTCCAAAGTTTGAGTATCCACTCGATGAAGATTGACGTGGAGAAGTTCAATGGCACTAACAATTTTGGCCTTTGGCGATGTGAAGTCTTAGATGCGCTCAATACGTAGAATTTGGAAGATACGTTGGAGTTGGACGGGAAACCGGACGACATTGATGAGAAGGTTTGGAAAAAGATGAATTGGATAGCGTGTGGTGTGATTAGGTCTTATCTCACTCAAGATCTAAAATATGATGTGATGAATAAGACTTCTGCGAAGAAGATTTGGAAGGTCCTAGAGAGCAAATACTTGACGAAGAGCGTTAAAAACCGCTTGCATTTGAAGAGGAGGCTTTATCGCTTCCAATCGAAGAAGGAGACATTCATTAGTGATCACATGAACCACTACACAAAGCTTCTTGCAGATTTGACGAATGTAGATGTCATTATTAAAGATGAGAACAAGGCGTTGCTATTGTTGAGTTCCTTGCCCGACGAGGAATATGAGACGTTTGTCCTTACTCTTATTAATGGGAATGCATCTCTTTCATATAGTGAGGTCACTGCTGCATTAGTGAATTACCAACTCAGGAAGAAGGACAAGGAGACTTCTATTGAGCCGGTAGCGGGGGCATTGGTTGCAAGAGCAAATGGTCCAAACCGAGGTAGAAGGTCACATTCTAGAGGAGCATATCTTGGAATTCGTAGGAATCAGTGTGCTTTTTGTAAAAAAGATGGATATTGGAAAGCTGAATGCCCAAAGTTGAATGATCAAGCCGGGAAGAATAAGGGAAAAGCTGTACAAGCTTCAGAGGTGAATATTGTCAAGACTAGTGGTAACAATTCAGATTCGGATTCTTCAGGCTACTCATTATTTGCACTGCCGTCAGTTTGTGTTGTCTACTCTACAGAGTGGATGTTGGATTCGGGCGCTACATACCATATTTGCCCTATGAGGGATTGGTTCTCCAGCTTTCAGGAGTTGGAAAGAGGGGATTTCATGCTCATAGGGAATGATCACAAATGTTCTATTGGTGGTGTCGGTACCGTTCGGATCAGGATGAGTGACGGGGTGATTCGGGAGTTGGTTGGAGTGAGGTTCGTTCCTCAGTTGAAGAAGAACATCATTTCACTTGGAGCTTTGGAGGCAGCAGGCTATAGGGTGACCTTGGCGGATGCACGCTTAAAGGTTACATTTGGGTCCATGATTGTGATGAAGGGCGTCAGAAGAAGAAATTTGTATTATTTGCACGGAAGCAGACGACTTCATTGGATTTGGCTAGATTGTGACGTTGTTTGGTGCTGGGGTATTTGATTGGTGATGCCGTCCATAGGTTGTTGAGGAGTGATTTGACCTGCAGATGGAAGTCCTTTGAGCACATTGGGATGAGCAAGACCGAGGTGGAGTTTGGCACTCCTATCCATCAAGCAAGGGGTCTTTTAGGAGGTGTTCAGTTAGGCATTTAGGGGCCTTTCAAGGAGGCATCATTGGAAGGTAATTGTTTTGTAGTCTCCGCAGTTGGTGATTGTTCTAGGCATTATTGGGTCGCGACCAGTTCCCATTAGTGTAAAATCCTAGAAGTCAACAATAATTGGAAGAAGTATATTGGCAGAAAGGTAACTCGTTATTCTAGCTTTGGTAGGGGTCCTTTCTTGCGTTTGTACCGAGCTCACGGTAATAAGAGACACTTCATTGGTGTGGAGACTTTGGGGCAACAAGATGAGATGACAGTTTCGATGGGTCGTTCCTTTCTGGAGGAGGATCGGCGTTGGTTGTCGAGCATTGGTTTGGAGCTTCGACATATTTGGGTCATCTTAGTCACAGGTCGCCGACTGCTGCATTAGGAGTTATTGGATCTGGTGGAGCTGCTTCAGATTTTGGGTTGCGTCGGATATTTGGATACCCAGCATTTGGTCACATCGTGGATGTGAGATTGGATCCGATTGCGCGTTTGGGGTTCGGAGGCTCAGTTGATTATCGTTTGGGAGCTTCTGATTTTGTTCTGAGCAGGTATGTCACTTTTGACTCTCGGCAGGTGGAGAGTGTTGATCAGGTCATTTGGATATCGCAGCAGGTGGAGAGTGATGCTACTCCACGTTGGGTGGAGATTACTCCACATACTCCAGAT